CAGAGACTCGGGGAACAGACTTGGAACAATCCGAATGATTATATTTACTTGACATATAGTATTATAATTCCACGTCCACATCAAAAGGTCTCCTTACATATAATCAGTAAAACAGGGCAGTCTCTGCCCCACAGGCTTACAGTGTAAAAAGATGTGCACAAGGGAAAACTTAACAGGGAGGGAAGAGGCAGGGGCAGGAATGATGTAGTAATTTGAAATCCCCATCTCTGACTTCCTTCTCCGCTTCGCCTTGTCGAGAAGTCTGCAAACGAGTATTTCTCATTGGGTGTAAAAACATCTCTTGCTTGCTCACCTGGAGGCGATCCTTACCACCACAGGGAGCGACCAGCCATCTGGGCAAGTTGCCTGACCTGATCATCTCAGGAACCAGACAGGACACACCCTCACGGGCATCCAGATCCCAAACTGTTTAGGGCTTTATATGGTAGTGCCGGAACCTTAAGCCCAGCCTGGGAGCAAATGGGTATCTTTGTCTATCCATGCCTCAAACCAGATCCAAGTAGCCCAACGCCTCCAGCTGCTTCCCTTCTGCCCCCCGATCCCTGGACCTGGGACCGAGCCAGGATGCTGGATCCTCCCATGAGGCCCAGCCCTGAGCCGGTCCCTGCGCCTCACCTGCTAAGTAGAAGGCGGAGGCCGAGTCCGGAGCAGCAGCTGGCAAAGCGGCTGGCACAAAAATACCATCAGCCTCGAAAAGGGCAGTCCTGCCGCATCCTCCCTCGGAGAGTTGGGGCAGATTTAATTACTGGCGAAGCCGCCCATGAACCACGTGCAAAGCGGAGTGAGGCTGGGGGTTGCACAAGACTCCCTTCCCAGAGGCGCGTGCGCACCCCTGTCCCAGGACCTCTGTGTGGTCATCTGCTTTCGTGCTTCCTCCGCAAGGACCTACAGCCGCCTCCCTTGGTGCAGAGAGAGAGAGAGAGAGAGAGCTGGGGGCGTGGGGTTGGCCCACCAGGCCGCACTCAGTCGCTCTTCTTGCCAGGCTGACTTGGTGGGAAAGTCAGAAAGGACGATGTGACGCCGGCTGCCGTGTCTGAGGCTGTGCAAGTTGGTCGCACCAGCCAGGGAGGCCGCCAGGTGCACAGTTAACGGGGAGGGGGGGTCCTGCATCTGTCTGCCTCTGCTCTGCTGCCATCTGGGCAAGAGTGGTTTGCCTGTGGCCAGTGGCCGGGTGGAGAGGAAAGCGGGCAGCGAGGAGAGGAGGTGCTAGGCGGAGAGTCCGAGAGAGGAAGGGTGGTGAGGAGAGAAGGCAGGGTGGGGAGGAAAAAGGGAGGGACTGGCGGAGAGAGAGGAAGGGGTGGATGGAAACGGGGGGAGAGAGTGGCATGGGGGGGATGGAGTGTGTGTGTGGGGGGGAAGAGAGTCCTGCTCACTTTTGATGCTGACCTTGCCGATCACCCTGGGATTCTTGACAAAAACTGCTGCTGTCTGTTCTCCATCACTTCTCCCCTACACCCTGGTTATCTGTATTCTCTTCAGAGTCCCTATGGCATGTCTTGCACACCTTGAGGACTAGACCCTTTAAGAAGCAATGCAGACTTGGAGTGCTGCGGCACCGATTTTCATCTTGCCCCCTGGACGAGGAATTGCAGAATCCTGGAACGCTCGTCTGCGGGGTTTTTGCATTCATGTTCTGGATGTGGGCACTGAGCAGAGGCACAGTATGCCAAATGTCTCTCCCTTTTGCCGCGCTTCTGTGCTGTAACTAGGAAACGACCAGACTCGGCTGTTTGTACAACAGCGGCGGCGGCAAAGCTGACCACACCTGACTCATCAACGGGATTAAAAATGGATGGCACCAGCTCCCCAACGGGCCCTCTGCTTGGGATGCGGAAGATCAGACATGGCAGAGTTGGGAGCAGACGGCGGCCTGTTTCTCTTCCTCTCTGACTCATCTCCCCTGGAGAGGCTTCCTCGAGTTCACCATCCTCCCAAATCCTCCCGACTTCTTCTCGGTCCCAGGGCAGGCACGTGTACTGTGCCACTGCCATCCGTCGTCCTCCCAGAAAGGAATCGCCCCTAGCTGTTCTCTCGCTAAGAGCCTCTTTTGTCCGCCCTTGCGATGGGATGGGATGGGCCAGGCTGGCTGCTCGCTCCCCGGAAAGACGCCTTTTCTCTGAAGCGGACCCTGTGCTCCCATCCCTGTGCTTGGCCCACTTGGTGGCAAGGCCTGGGAAAAGACCACCCAAGCGGGCTCTTTGTGGAGACTCCCCGCACGTAGAGAGCAGTGCCTCTGCGAGCAAGGCTGGCCTTCCCTGACATGCTGGCTCGCTTGGTGCAGTCAAGGGAATGCAGGTGCTAAGCTCCTTGCCCTTGGAAGCAGCCAGGCAGTGACGCAAAATAAACCTTCTGGGGCCTGCTGGGTCAAGGGGTAGCATGGCTGGGTGTTGGCCGTGGGCCCAGAGCAAGTAGGGGCCTCCGGAAAAGCCCCCCCGCCATTGTTTTTTTCTTCGCCTTTGCAACTTGCTTGCCTACCTGCCTCGCTCTCCAGCTGAGACGGTGGAGATGGTCTCACTCTCCAGGGCCCGGTCGAGCCAAGGGGCCTCGCTTCAGGTCTGAGGATACCTAAAGTGGTGAAGCCACTGAATAATGTCGTTCAGCTTTCAGTTTTCGGTCCGACTATAAGCGATCCAATGGGCCAGATCTCAGCACACTTTCCAATCCTGTGCCCCCTCTTTCAGCAGAACTGTTCCCTGGCCTGCATCCTCTTTGATGGAGTCCAACCACCTTGCTCTTCGGTGACCTGGTTTTCTCGCGCCACTGAGCCTTCCAGGCATTATACCTGTTTCTAATGAGCTTGATTGCCTAATGTAGCCAAAAATACGCAGCCAAAAACATGCCTGGTTTAATATATTCCAGCACCTGCTTGTCTGTGACTCCCGCTGTCCGTGGAATGTGTGGAAGCCTTTGCCAACACCACAGTTCAAATGAGTCGATGGAACCGTAGGATAAAATGATGAACTACTGATGCAGAAGCTAAACCAGCAAAAGAAAGCTTAGATTTGCCTGTGTGGACATATCAGTTCCCCTCATAAGCTTTGTGGGCCCTCCGAAGTGCATCCAGTTATTAATATTATTCTTAATCTTTCTTGCCATGAATTTTGTAAAGTTCCTCTCTTCCATTATTGCAAGGCAAAGATGCACCCAGGCACCAACCCCCACCCTGGGGAACCAGGAGCGGAGAGCAAAGCTACTTTCATAAGGCAGCCAGTTTCTGTGCTCACAGCAAATGCAGCTCTTATCTAAAGAATGTGCTTGGCAAAACAAGCTTCAAGATGATGATCTCTGATCTTCTTCCAAAGAAGCTGAAGATCAGAAAGCTGTCCTGGCATTTGAACGCTGGGAAAGCTTCCTACACTAACTGTAAGAACTTCCTAACCATTCTTCTGGGAAAGCCCATACAATACAGAGGCAATAAAGAGGACGAATCATGGAATAGTAGAGTTAGAAGCGGTCATGAAAGCCATCAGATCCAACCCTCTGGAGCAGGAAATTCAAGAGCCAACTTGTCCCAACTGTCAAGCGAGCAAGTGGAGCCATGGTGAGGAAGAGGAGGAGGAACATGAGCCGCTGCTGACCACGACAGTGAGGAAGGTGACTCACTGACAGGCAGGGAAGACATCTTCCTCTTTGAAACTTGGATGATGAACTATACAGGGGTCAGAATACTCCTGCTTTGGTAGAAGTTGAGCTTGGATTACCAGCCAGGGTGCAGCTTCAAAGGAGCAAAAACCAGACTCAGCTCCTTGTACAAATGTTAGTTACTCTTCCCCAGATGGCTCAGTTGCACTTGCAGACAACCAAAAACAAGCAAATGCACTTTGGAAGAGGCACGTCCTCCTGGGTGGCAGATGGGAAATGCAGGCAGGAAATGCCTATTCTTTAAGGATGGCGTTGGCTGTCCCCAGCTTGCCTTCATGTCTGCATTAAATACATACACGCATAAAATTCAGAGGTTTGTTTTGCTTTCAGCTGTGCAAGATGCGTTCATTTATTTGCCGTATTTCTAATCCCTCTCTTCAGGGCAAGAAGGGCTCACTGAGCGACTTTCAAAGATACCTATCAAGGCGTTCTTTGGGCTTACAGTCGAAAGACATGACACAAGAATAAAGGCCTGGGAGGAAGAGGGGAGGAAAATTCAGGCATCAGTCCCTACTTTCAAGGCAGCTGTAAGCAATGCTGTCTTGTGGGGAAGGACCAAGCTGTGGCTGCAGCTGCTCCTGCTCCGAGAATACGGGGAGCCAGGCTGGTGTTCCCCTCAGCATGTCGTTCTCCATGAAGGCAAGTGGTGGCAGTCCAGGATTTTCTGGCTAGTGTCAATTAATACGATCAGTTAATTAAATTACCTATATTTACATCCTGCCTTTTTCCTGCAGGGAAGCCAAAATAGCTTGTGGAAGGAATCCCCTCTGTTTTATCACCCCAACAACCCTTTCAGATAGATTAGACTGATTCCAAAGTCATCTGGTGAGCTGCATGGTCAAACGGACTCAAATCCTTTTGCATTTTTATCTATTAATTTATTCCATTTATACCCTGCCCCTTTCTTTACAAGGAACCAAAATGGCTTGCATAATCCTCTCATTTTATCCTTGCAACGGTGAGGGCCAGGTGTGGCCCAAAGTTCCCCATGGAGTTTTGTGGCTGAGTGGGGATTTAATTTTATTTACTTATTAAAAGTTTTCTATTCCGTCCCCTACAGAACATCTCGGGACGGATTACAATAAATAAATAAATAGAACAGAACAGCCCTATAGCATCCGACCATTAATATTCTAAAACCCCAGTTGAAATCAAACATTAAAATAATGGGAAAATAAAATTTGAGCCTCGTTCTCCTGTCCCCCAGCCCACGCCGTGAGCATTGCACCACTCCAGCTCAATTCCTGAAATACGGAACTGAGATTTTTGCAGCCTCTCTCACCTGAATAATGTAATCCACAGCGTGATTCCTCCCTTTCCATCTGTCTCTGACGTAGGTCAAGCTGGGAGCTCCCAGACCTGCTTGAAGGGAAGATCCCGGCGATAAGCGACTCCGACGGCGTCAACTACCCCTGGTACGGGAACACCACGGAGACCTGTACCATCGTGGGCCCCACAAAGAAGGAGGTGAAGTTCAGCGTCAGCATGAACGACAACTTCTACCCCAGCGTCACCTGGGCCGTCCCCGTGAGCGACAGCAACGTCGCCAAGCTCACCAGCATCCACCGGGACCAGAGCTTCACCACGTGGCTGGTGGCCACGAACACAGCCACCAGCGAGATGGTGACCCTGCAGACCATCAAGTGGCGGATGAAGCTGGGCATCGATGTGGCCCCCGGCAGACCGTTGGGGCAGCGGGCCAAGCTGAGGGAGCCTTCCGCGCAGGAGCAGCCGCAGGTCCTAAGCAGGAACGAGCCGATACCGCCGAGTGCCCTCGTGAAACCCAATGCCAACGACGCCCAGGTACTCATGTGGAGGCCCAGAGATGGCCCCCCGCTAGTGGTGATACCTCCGAAGCACCGGTAATGCGGTCCCCGTGTCCCCCCCCGTGTCTGAGGAGAGGGGGAGCGGGGAAAGGAGGAAGAAACAGAACCACTTCATAGTTAAGAAAGCATATATTTAAGCGGAAATGTACTTTTTAATTCATGTGACAAAAAAGAAAAAAAAGCAACCATTCTACCTTCTCCCGTCAGAACGGATCTCACTGTGCTTTGAGTTCAAAGGAAGGACGCCCCTCGACATCGAGAGCGGGGTGTGTCACCTGACATCGCTGAATTCCTAAGGAAGCAAACACCCACCTCCACACACAACACACACACACTTTCAGCTGTTTAAAAGTTGTTTTTTCCTTCCTTTGGTTGTTGTTTGAAGTTTAATCTCAATCGCTTAAGCTGAGAGACAGGAAAAAGTGTTCTTTTTTGAGGGGGGGATTAATACGGGAGATTTGATTTTGAGTTGGAAGGGGGAGGGTATCTTTTGGGCAGGTGGGTGGATGTGAAATGCTACAGTTTCCTGGAGTGAAATTTTTTAGTTTGCTTGGATGAGGATGGATGATAATGATGGGTGCTTTGGTTTTTCTTTTCCTCTCGTTTTCTTTTTTTAAGAAAAAGATATTCCAAATTGCAAACCCATGTCACGCGGCCTTATGTAGATTTTGTTTTGCATTGCCAAACTTTTGCCTTAAGCTGCATTTAAAAGAAGAAGATTCTGTTTCGTGCTTGCTCTGTGTGCAATAGGAAATGTCAGATTTTATCACAGTGAACCTCTGGCGGTAGAGTGCTCTCTTTCCCCCTTGTTTTAACTGGGGTAATGGGCAGAAACTCCTGGCAGAGCTCACTGCACCAAAGAGTGAAGGAAGCTGCACCTATTAAATTTCTGCCTGTCTACTGTTGTTAATGCAGTTAATGTAATGTTTCCATACTAGCACTGGTCTCTGGAACTGCCACCCTTTCTGTGTGTGTTGCTTATTACTACTACTACTACTACTATTATTATTATTAGAGAGAGAGAATCTGGTGACATTTTACAGAGATTCCAGACAATTTGGTGCATTCCAGTCTTTCCTTCGTTGTTTGTGGTGATTTAATTTAGCTTAAAGAGATTATAGGGCTTCTTTGCCTTTAATTGAAAACTTCCTGTTTGCAGGTTTGGCATGTTTTATTGCTTCCTGTTGTGTGCATCTGAGGAATGAATGTTGAGTCAGTTCATAATGATCAGTTTCTGTTCCGTTGAGCCAGGAGGTGGAGGAGAGACTTTAATGACTGCTTTCCTCCCATGTTTTATTTTCGTTTTTATAGAGCAAAACAGACAGTATTATTTTTCTATGGAAAAATGGTCAGAAAATAATGGGAGCAAACCAGTTGTTAAAATTAGCAAAATCTCCCTTCCCAGCCATCTTGCTCCTTGACAAGAACAGAAACTGACATTCCAGGACTGTAACAGGAAGCAATAGGATGAACCAAAGCTGGAGGTTGGAAGCTTTTAATTAACATTGGAAGGGACCTTTGAGGAACTGGATTGCCTTCTGAATGAACATTACAGAAGGACCTTGGGCATGTAGAACAGCATGGTTGGGGCACGCTTGTGCTGCACAGAACCCGTTTTAAATCCTGCCTCAAAAAAGCATTGTTGCTGCAGCACAAAGACACCGTGGAAGGGTAGCAACCTCTGCTTGGGGTGCAGGCGAGGAACAGTAGTCGCAAGTCACGAAAAGGAGATCTGGCTTGCATCTCTGTCCAAGGCATAATCCCAGTCAGAGTGGGCTAGATGGGAATGAGCTTTAGGCTTTGCTTCTCTGCGTGAGATTCATCACTGCTGGAGAACAGATAGAGTGGCCGCCCTGCTAGTCATGAGTCATCGCTTCTAGATGGAAAACGGTGTTTGTCTCTCTCTGCCTTGGGTGCTTTGCTTCATTATGAATCCTTGCCTCTGTCATTTCCCCTACCCTATCAGTGTGCATTCATTTTGTGATGGGAATGGGAGAAAGACAAATGAAACGTTTAAATATTGCAAGGGGGGGGGGGAAGGAGTTTAATTTTCTAAATGATGTGGGCAGCAGAATAAGCTCCCCCCTCCTTTTTGGTATTCCAGGGAAACCAAAGTTCATTTTCCCTTTAACCATACGGGGCAGCAAACTTGCAACATGAATCACTCAGGATCGGGGCATTACGGGGTCCCTTCTTCACTGAGGAGGAGAAAAATGGTTTTGCCATAACTCTGAGGGGCAGCCACTTTCTGCAGCTCAGTGCTTGGAATTCTAAAATGCACACTTTGGTTTTTTGGAAATATTAATTCTTTAGTAGCAAAGTGTTTGCATGGCTGCTATCTGGGTTCCTGCTGCTACGTTCAGGTTTGCACTAGACCAGAAGTAATTTGGTGTTGAAGTATTGTGGAAAACCCTAGAGTAGATTATCCACCCTCTTCCCTGTAGGATGGAAGCTGGGTGCAAATCCTTCAGGGGCCTTTCCTGTTTGACCTTTGGGGCAGGAATAAATTTAGGGAGTGTCCTCTTGGAAAGACGAATTTCTTCCGCCTGCCATTACACAATGCCAGGGGACATGGGGCAGTTACAGGAGTAAAGGAGGAGTAATTACTTCCTGGTGAAGCCATTTCTGCAAAACAGGACAACTGTGGAGTTGGTTATTGATGAAATTAGAAATGAAAATGAATGACTACTCTGTGAAAGTCCATGACTGCCATTTGCCATGTTTGAACAAGCTGATCTTTTTGAGGTATTTCCAGGAATTAGGGGTGTCAAATGGATTCAGGTGAGTTGAGATCGGCGCTTTTTTAATGTTAGCATTTGCACGAGTGTGTAGGAGCACGAATGCACGCTTGCATGAACAGGGATTAGCTCGAGCAGAATGGAATTCTGGTAAAAAGCAAATCAGATCTGATTCTCTCGATGAGCAAAGGATACCTGACCATTTGCAAAATGCAGAGTTTTGCATTTGTAAGTCCCTTCCAGGAATTAGAGAGAAACCCAAGTTCTGGGCACTCGGATTGAGAATTCTCAAATCCAGTTTGACAGCGGTGGGTGGGGCTGAGCAGGACTGACCCAACATATCCAAAACTCATATCAACTTCGGTTTGGTTTTAAAGTCAGGCAGTCCAAAAGCCCGGTTCTCAGTCAACAAAATTACAGGCTTCTGTGTGATCCATAATCAAGAACAGGAAATTAGACATCTGCTACTGGGAAGGTCACGAGCACCCAATCTAGGCACGCAAACTGCTCTTTGGAAATCCCCTGCCACCACAGAGCATTTATTCATAAAACACACGCAGTCCTGGGCAACCTTCCCCACGGTGGATCGAAAGTGTTCAGGGGACCACATGTGGATTTTATTCTTATGTTCCCCGAGCATTCTGGCTCTTTCTTTGCCTTCTGGTTTCTCAAAGCTGCTTTCCTGTTTCCTGTTTGCTTTAAAAATGTGAAGATAGCCTCTGAAGGTCTTTTCCTGACCCTGCCTCCCATTGCCTTGGCTTAAAAAAAAGAAATTGCCAAAGCGAGAGCTGTTTGGACACACAAGGAGAGCATCTGGAGATGACAAGCGCAACAAGCACATGTGTGTGTCTGGCTGGATTAGGCCTTGCTGAAAACACCGGAAACTCAATTCCCCAATTATGGACAGTTATAGATAAGACTGAGCGAGAGAATTGCCTTTCAACTCGGTTTCAATAAGAATTGGCCAAAATTGAGAAATTTCTCATTCAGGATGAAATAAACTTGAGAGGTTTAGTTGTAAGTGGGAGAAGGCAAAAGGGAGCGTGTCCACCCTTCTGGTCCTGGGATTTAGGGGCCCTTTTGGGGCTCAGCGAGCACTTGGAATGCTGAACAGCTGGCCGTGGCCGCTTTCACAAAATGGCTGCCAAGGTGCACATAGCTGATTGCAAACACTTATTTCCTAGCAGAAACGCAGGCGAGGCTCAGAGTTACATGCCTTGTCCAGGAGGCTGAGCTGCAAAGCACAAGGACACTCTCTGGAACCCAAATAAATATGGCAGCAAGAGGTGGGGGAGCACCTGGGTTAGCAGCAAGCCAATAAAAGAAAAAACAGTATCTTTAAAAAATAGGAGAGGGACCTGGTGGGCACAGGGAAAAAACTCAGCAAGTGCTTTGAAGGCCCTGGGAGACCTCCCCAGGTAGGAATATTGTGGTCATAACATAATCGAGCTGATTCATTTTGGATCAGCTTGGCTCAAGATGCATAAGGTTCGAATTCAGGAGAGAAGTTGAAATCGGAAGAGAACCTGAATGCAGGAGAGTGTGAGATTGACCGTTGCCTGTCCCTGGGGGCAGACCAGGTTGTGCCAAGAGGTGGTGCCCCACCAGCAGTGAGGCCAGAGTGGGGAACCTGCCCCCTTCCCAGTGACAAGGGCAGCCCTGCCTCTGCAGGCCGGCTGTGATCCAGCGTGGCTGGAGATGCCCAGCCCTGAGCTAGGCAGGGCCCGGCCTAACACTGCCAGGCTGTGCTACTACCGGTGTGTGACCGGAAGCACCCCTCGTGCTTTCCTGTTTCCGTGAAAAACTAATCACAGGACAGATTTCCTCGAAAGCATGAGAGCACACCTGTAGCTGGGCTGAGACGGGGGAAACGACGATTTGGTACACATGAGCAAGACACTGGTCTCCCCAACTCAACTGGGATTTGCAGAGGTCCCCGTCTTCAAAGTGAGTTGGCTCTGTAAGCAGAGCATCCTCCGGGGCCCCTTCTCTGTCCGTGGGGGATGCCTGCCAGGTTTGCCCAGCGGCCCTGAGCAGCTGTGCCTAGCCACACTCTTCATTTCCCAGAATCCCCCAGGGAGAGGCGCGAGCAGGAAATGGGACGGGCTACCTGGTGTGGCGTGCAAGGCCGGTGGAAGAGCGGCTGGTGCGGCAGGGGAGCCGAGAGCTGGGGTGACCTTGGCTGAAGTGCGTGGGATCCCTTTCTCCCTGGAAGCATGCTGTCTCCCACATGTTGCACAGAGCCAAGTTAACCTGCTGCTGCTACTGATGGGGCAAAAAAATGGCAAAGTCAGGGATGCTTGGTAGGGTGGCATCCCGGTGCCATTGCCGATTGCCCCCTCCAGGAACATCCGCCTGCAAAACACCTGCCCCGCCTCCCCTTTTCGCAGAGTTTCCTGCTCCCAGCTGCTTCGGGGATGCAGTGCTAGCCCTTCTTTATTAGCAGGAGCACGAACTCCGTCCCTCGCCCCTCCGCCCCCCAATTCCCTGCTCCCCCAGAGCTTAGCTGTGGGCCACACACTGGCCGAGAGGGGGGAATGATGCAAAGCCATTCGGCTTGGTCTCGGATAGCTTTATGAAGGACTCGCTCCAGGCAGGGAGGAACACAGGGAGACACAGGTGGTGGCCTGGATCGACACAGCGGCCTGCAATTTTGGGATCCCCTGCAGGTGGGGAGCCGGTCGCCTGGCACATGCTGGCAACACAGGACCGAAAGTATGGACCCCAAGGTGGAACAGGAGGGAGAGGCCCCACGGTCCCCGCGGAAACTCTCCTCAGCCCCTGCCAGGAGAGCATGCCAGGGGACCGGCTCCCTCCGTGCTTGCAAGACACACACACAAGCACCTCTCTTGCACTTCGACACTGTGACCGGAGGTTTTGATCTGTGGCCGTCAGCTGTTACAGGTACCTGTTAGGACAGTACCTCTTCACCAAAAAAGGCCAAGAGGAGCCGGATAGGTATGAGAAAGGCCTGATTTGCCCCCATGAGGGGCAAGAGGGGGCACCAGATGTGGAGCTGGGTGAGAAATTGACCAGACCCACATCCTTGTTCCAAGTCGTGCCTGGATGTGTGTTTTAGCAATAAGAACTGGTCTTTGGTCTTTGCAAAAATACTGTGAAAATGTTGTATTTTTTAACATACCAAGCCTGGACACTTAAAAGTATTAAAAAAAAAAAAAAGAAAAAAAATCAATGACTTTGCTTAAGGAAAAAAGAGCAAGGGAATAAAGCAGAGTTTTCAAAAGACAATTGTCTGAGATGGTTTGATTTAAATACTGCAGAAGGCTTAATCCTCTCCACTGTACAGTGGGGTCTTTTGGCTTTGATGTGTTCACCCGGAGGAGCTACCTGGAACCAGACTTCCATCTGGGAATCCTTGGACGGTCGACCTGTAACCCAGGTGTACCCCGCCCCCCCCCACCCCACCAGCTGAAGGTTGGTGTTCATGGAAGCAAGCACTCCTTCATTCAAGGGGGAAAATCTCCCCATGTAGAAAGCGAGATCTCCAGGGGAACATTTCCCTGACATGCTAGCTTTCTACAAGAGGGTGGATTTGCATCCATGGAGGTGCGATCCATCACACCTCAGCTAGAATGGGAGCTGGAAGGGCCCGAGCGTGTGCTCACTGACCTGGGCTCCTTTTCTGTCCCCAGTTTGAGTTGCTTCCCAGTGTCTGGACAGGCCTGCGTTCTCTGCCGAAGGAGCAGCTCCCGAGCGCAAGACCTGGCACCTCAGGCCAGAATAAGGCACAGGGGGCTTGGCAGGTCGAGCGACCCCTTGCTGGGGGTGGCTCCTTCCCTCGGCCCTTGCAGCTGCTGCGGGAGCAGAACCTCCTGCCCTGGCTTCGACATCCGCACCCTTTCCCAGACAGGCCTGCTGGAGTTCCCACCTGCAAGGGGAGAGAATCCCCCTATGCCAGTGATGGCGAACCTTTCAGAGACCGAGTGCCCAAACCCAAAACCCACTTATTTATCGCAAAGTGCCTTATCGCAAAGTGCCAACCCTGCAATAAAACCTGAATACTGAGGTTTTAGTTTAGAAAAAACAACGCACAGCCAGTCCAGGCAAATATCTATATCCATCTCCATCTCCACCCTTGGCAGCGCACTGACCAGCCATGTCATCGCCTGGCGCCGCTACTCCTTTCCGAGCATGCGCATGGCCCCCGTGTGCGCCGTTATCCAATGCTCGGCTGCTGGGGCGATGCTGGGGCGACTCGGCTGGCGTGCCGGCAGAGAGGGCTCTGTGGGCTGTGCCCGCTGCGGCACACGTGCCATCGGTTCGCCGCCCCTGCCCTGCGCCTATCGCCAGATG